TAAATCAATTAATCAATCAAAAATATAAGAAGAACAGCAAAATACAAATATCCGATGGTTAAAAGGCTCCTGAAGAAAAGCATAGCGCAAGGTAGACGGGATCAAAATGTGAGCGAAACCTGCAATTAGGTCTTCACTATAAAGTTAACAAAATATCTGCTGTTCGCAGTCTTTTCAAGGCCACCATCCACGACAAAAGTTCATCGTAATGTAAAGAAGCATTGTTGCTGCACACTGCAAGCGGCTTCGAAGACTACACACGGCAACCAACAAAATTTTAATAGCAGCAGTTATTCCGACAGCAAGTACAGTCCTGATGAAAAGTTACCAAGCCACGCTTACATAGAAATACATAGGATAGTGGCCTGCAAACTTTGACCCCCCCCCCCCCCCCCCCCCCCCCCCCCACTTTGTACAGGGCTGCCTATCGCGACACAGAGTTAGCCCTCATTTACCATAAGTCATGCGCTCAAGCAATATTCTCATAAGCAATAACGATTTGACTGTATATATGAATTATTACATAAGGCCCGGTTATGTCCGGCTTTTAAAATGTTTCTCGTTTTTGTATATCGTGACAACAACAACAACAACAACAACAACAACAACAACAACAACAACAACAACAACAACAACAACAACAACAACAACAACAACAACAACAACAAAAATGGCTAAGGCTCAAAGAGGACGGGGACGAAGTGGAGACAATAGCTTGGTATATCCTTCAGTGAATATTCCTTTCATGAACCTGCTATCTAAAAAAAAGACCTGTGGAAATAACGAGGTCATGAAACATCGATTGCACCAATCCAACCATATTTATAATTGTTACACTTTCACATTGTTACTTTAGTAAATCGTTAAAGATGCAGAACGGCAAGACTACAGTCTATTATGGCGGCACCAAAATCCATGCGTAAAGTAGTCTATAGTATAGTTACCCACTCAAACTGCAAGGCACAAGAAGCACCACCTCCATCTGTTTAAACAGACAAAAAACGAAATGAGTAATGAAGAGCCGCTAGCTAAACTAGGTTTGGTAACGCATGGCTGGCACGTCACGTCAGGCAGCCCATTCCGTTTGCAATGTCTGAAGACGAAGTGGTGCAGAAAAGAAATTGAGGATCCGTTTCACTTTGTGAAGGTGGATAACACGTCAAGCGATTTAACCTATGACGAAGAACCAGGGGCGTAGCGCGATCAATTTTTCGGGAGAGGGGTGGGGAATTCCTTGATTTCAGGAGTCATTTTTCTCTCTCTATGCTATGGCCAAAATAATTTTTTCTTTTTTGAGGGGGGGGGGGGAGAAGGGCCACGGACTTGGTGTGCCACCCATTGGCCAAGTCGCTACGTCAAGCTAATGCCATTTCGAACCGTAGCCGATCGCACACGCTGCGGCTTTGCTCCGTTTAATTTTTTCGTCTGAGCAGCAAGCACACTTGTCGCGAAATGCGTCGTATTGACTAGCTTGCTGCACGCACGAGCGTTTCGTTGAAGGCAATTATTTGAACTTTGCCACCCGCGCTTTCATGTAGAAGGGGTGAGCAGTGAGGTCTGCCTGATTTTTGTGGCACTTACCTGCGCGATGAGTTCTTGCTCACAAACAAATTAATGAATCCATTAGTAATTTACAGCTTCACTGTAAAAACTAGCACTAAATTAAAAAAATGCTCACGTTCACAAAAATAACTACCTCTAATGAGACATTTAAGGTCATAGGCGTAAATACACCTACGCAAGTTGCAGTATTATTGACCAAAGCACGTGACTTGGAAAATGACATTCATTGTCGACCTCATAACTTCATCACGAGAAGCGATTGATTGATATGTGGGGTTTAACGTCCCAAAACCACCATATGATTATGAGAGACGCCATGTGGAGGGCTCCGGAAATTTTGACCACCTGGGGTTCTTTAACGTGCGCCCAAATCTGAGCACACGGGCCTACAACATTTCCGCCTCCATCGGAAATGCAGCCGCCGCAGCCAGGATTTGATCCCGCGACCTGCGGGTCAGCAGCTGAGTACCTTAGCCACTAGTCCACCGCGGCCGGGCTCATCACGAGAAGTGCACTGTGAGGCGAAAGAAAAGTAAACAAATAAAGAAAGCATGGCTGGTCATGTGAAGGTGACGCGTTTCTGTGGCACTTGTATTAAAAGAAACCCGAAAAAGAGGCCAATTTTCAATCCTACTTTGACACCATGTTACAAATGTTCCGAATTCTTTATAACAAGCTGCATAGTTGTTGAACAGGACAATGCCACCTGTAAACAGTTGGTTGTTTACGGGAAACAGTCGACAATCAATGCCTTTTCAGCCGTTCGCAGGCCATTTCTTTCATTAGTTTGTCCAGTTTTTTCTTTGTTATGCGGGGAATTAAGGGGTAACTGTGCAGTCTATATAGAATATTTGCGCAGACACTCACGTATCCACCATGTGCTCCTTGTCTATGCAATGTATTTATGACTTCGGGCATCTCTGTTGATTCAAATACAGTTTCGTAATTAATACGATGCACAAAAAAGGAGATTTTACTGAGTAAGTTTATCTATTACGATAATAATGACATGGATATGATTTATTTTTCATTGCTCCTCCCGGAATTCACCCTGTTCTGCAGATTAGTATAATAGGTTTTCTGTAGAAAAACCTTCCTGACCCTACTCGAAGTCTATCAATATTTTGTGAAGTACTCAACTACATCATTCAACGAACTTCCTCAATTTTCCCGAGATTATCATTTTTAATATCACTACTTTTTCTTCTCGTTTATCAGCGTTTCAAGTTCAGACAGTCTGATCACTTGAGTTGAAAATTTTATGTCTTCTCGCTTCTTCATTGGGCCCTTCATTACTTGGGAGAACTTCCTAGCAGTACGCTGTTTGAGTGTCTCGCATTTTTTTGCTCACTAACATGTGAAACTCGCGAAGCCTATATATACTACTGCCTTCATCGGACACGTACATAGACCAGTTCGGATATTTGCCAGGTCCTCCGGTGTCTGCAGCGGCCACGTCCATGAAGCGGACGGGCCCTTACTGCGACAGCGAAGACACTGAAGTCAACTCACTTCCAAGTGAGGGGTGATTTACGAGAATTTTGAAGTTCTGATGAGCCGTAAGGCAAAGTGACGTAACATCAGGGATTCCTCATCACCGACTACACCGAATGAAGAAGGGCCGTGCAAGCCAGAGACTTACGCCATCACTTTCGTTCCTATTGAACCCAACGGCAACATAAATTACCTCAACAAGCAATCTGTTTCGGTGCAGCTCGATATGCTGGTGTCAGGGGAAATATTGGATATCCCAATGAAGCCGCGCAATAACGTCATGGCGATTGATGTTTCGCACGGAACTTCACTGAACACACTACGAAGTGTGTTCAGAAAAGGATTGAATCACCGTGTACTCCTACATCTCAGTGGGTACTAACGTCGTCACCGGCGTCATATACGACGCTGACGCTGCGATTTCAAGCTCTGACTTGTGTGGCCTCGTCAAACCAGCTAGCGAATATACCACCATCACCAAGTTTGCTCGTCTGAGTACCTCATGGTGCGTGAAAATGGATTGAAAGGCCAGCTAACTACCTTCCTATGTAAAGGTGGGCCACTTCCTACATTCGGTAAAACCTTTTGTGCCAGAACCACTGCAATGCCACAATTGCATGAAACTAGGTCATGACAAAACCGTATAGTATAATAGGCGATTAAGTTGTCGCTGCGCCGAAGTCCATCGCACCGACAATTCTAAAGCTGATGTCCTGAAATGTTCCAATTGCAATGAACCTCACAAAGCCTCCTCACTAGAGTGACCAAAAATGAAAAGAGAAACCACTATATTTAAATAAATGGCAGAGGACTATCGTCTAGCCGTCAATCCAGTAGCCAGTGAATACAACATATCGAGATTTTGACCATGCTCATTTGCTCATTCAATATCTTAATAGAACTGTTATACTTATTCGTAATCCTCACCTAATGTCGAAGCACTTGCTTTCCACATATGTCTGATCGGTATCTATACTATATACTCATTAATTCTGTAGAGCCCTGCTAAGCTAGCATCACTCGATTATTTCGTGAATTTATTATTTTCAGATTATGCTTCCGGAGGTGGGTGATCATTCTCAATTCGGAGATTACTGACACAACAGTCAGTGAGGACTTATAATAATGTGTCACTGCAAGAGCCACAAGGAATGTATAATTGACAGATTTAAGTAGGAACATTAATTTCTGTGACCGTAAGAAAATTTCTTGATTACTGCAGGACATTTCTTATATTGTTCTATCTAGACTGGCAAAGCCTCTCCATATCACTGATATCTTCTTGCTGGTTTCACGCACTGCAATAAAACAGGAAATCCAAGCCACTGCAATGACGAGAGGGAAGAGGACAGAGAGCCAAGGATAACTAAGCGTGCTGCTAGCATATAACAGAAACTAGTGGTACGTGAGCGCTTCGGCACTCGTACATTCATCACGCCTTTAAAAAAATGCAAGCTCTCAGGAGACCCGACGCAGAAAATGGCCCGCTATTCTTTCGGCGTGCGGGTCTGTGCTTTCTTTCTTTATTTCCCACCGTTTAACCTGCCCCTCTAGTCGGCTTGACCTGCCGTAATCCCGTTCATGCGCAATCTCCGGTGACCTAGTACCATCGGTCGGTGCTTTATCAGGTGCTAAGCTGCTCACGTGCTTGACTGAATTTCCTAGAGTATAGGCGTCTGCTCACATAAAAAGAAAGGCAACGGTAGCACGCGAGTGTCCGCTTTAACGCTTTCGCCACTTACACGTATCGGTAAACCATCTCACCTAGTTGTCATTCCTCGAGCGATAGACTCGGTCGGCGTACGGGGTCGATAATAAAGACTCTGTCGTTTTGTGACAAGTTCGACACGTTTTGTTGAATAGAGATAACGTACAAGGCACTGACGTCAGCGGCAGTATATAAGCAGCGACTCAACACTGCAAAGAGCATCTACCGCAGACAGGATTCACTGAGACTTTTCAGCAACCAGCGCAAACTTCCAGTCACCATGAAGGCCATTGTAAGTGAGCAGCATTGGCTAGACAGAGATTAGAGCGATGCAGATGGGTGTATTTACTTCTCATAACTTAGCAGAACTTTCGGAGCACCATGAAGGGTTAAGAAAAAAAAGAAAAAAAAGAACCCTTGTGGCATTCGTATGCAAAGAATCTTATTTAGGTGTTGAAAAAATTCGTAAAACAAGGGTTGTGTACTCGAGCAACGTATCAATTTAAAATTTTTATGGATTCGCTGATCGCAAGCTTCTATTTCCTCCTTTGTGGAGGTTTTTCAGCGCATTCAATTTCGTTAGTTGTTTGAAGAGGTGGAAAGATGAAAAATACAATGGTTTATAGTTACCCCGCTGCGAGTAGCTATATATAATGACATGATAAATGAAGAGTTAATCAATGTCTAGAAATAAATAAAAGTAATAGTTCATTATAATTCAGGGCACGCGTTAAAAAAGAGCCAAGCTGAGGTAGTCCGTAAGAAATTCCTTCAGCCACGAACCATTCATTAGCCAATAAAATTGACAAATAATACTTACGTGCTAATAGCTTTGTGAACTTGGTTCCAGTTGTTCAAGTTCTACAGGGCTTTGTTTTCTTGAATATATATGACATTCTGAACGAGTTTTGCTTCTTGAAAAATGTTAAGGCTAAGTAAACGATGGCGCTGAGAATATGAGAATAACTAGGAATACTCATATTAAAAAAAAGCGGCGCACAAAAAGACAGAGACAAAGAAGAGAACCACACACAGTTCTCTTCTTTGTCTCTGTCTTTTTGTGTGCCGCTTTTCTTTTAATATGAATATACACCAACTCGCCCAACTTTCTATTCTGTTATAAGTAGGAATACCTGATAAAGAAACACAAGTCTCTATGCAACCTTATGCGAATTGTTCGAAGTTTGTACATTATAGCAGGGAGACTTAAAGTCTGCTCGTTTTGTGCATCATCGTTCTCACGCATGTTTGTTAGAAGGACCGTGCTAGTTTTCGCAGGCATAGAAAGCAACGTTGTTGAGAGTGTGCTTCCACAGAGCAGAGTTGTTCGAGTCCCTTGATGATGATAATAAAAAAGGCAAAACCACCCATAACCTAGCCAACTGTAGCATATTGAGAGTGTATTGTGCCAAGTTATTTAAATAATTCTATTAAACGTGTTTTAGACCTTGAACCTAAGGGCATGCAGTAAGAAATGAGTGTATGCATCCCTACCTCTCCCTTCTTAAAGAGAATGAGGGTGGGGTTTGGAATGCAAGAGTTTGGAACATAAGAATATCAGTGTGGTATGTCACACTCACAAGTAAACTGCCTGCTCGTGTTTTCATCTACTGTAACTTCGAAGACTTCTCTGGCTATACATTTGCCAGGTAGATCCAGACCATAAGCATTCTTCTGTAGTTGATTGTTGCCGTTTATTTTAATAAATTTTAGTCGATCTGCAGGAGACCTAAATCAAAATACAACACACAAAGTAAATGAATGTACCACTTGCTTGTTTGTGTGCACAAAATCAGCTTGAAGTAACACGGGAAGCCTGGGTGTGCAACAAGGAGTCAGACCGTGAGTGAACGCATTTTCAAATCTACCATGTATTTGTGCTGCCATTTCTTTTCCACAGGCTCTCATCGCTACCCTAGCAGTCGTCCTCACCTTCGCAAGCGCAGGCTATCTCGGAGGCTACGGTGGACTCGGTTATGGTGGCCTCGGCTTCGGTGGCGGCTATGGTTTGGGCTACGGCGGCTACGGCTTGGGCTATGGCGGCTACGGTGGTTACGGTGGTTACGGTGGCTATGGAGGTTACGGCGGTTATGGCGGTTACGGTGGTTATGGCGGTTACGGCGGTTACGGTGGCTACGGTGGCTACAGCGGCTACGGCGGCTACGGTGGCTATGGCTACAAGGGTTAATTACTGAAGAAAACAAAGGGATCGAAAGAAGGACAGTTCAAATGCTTGTTACAACGTTGCGAAAAAATACCAAGGAAGCCAATGAGGCTACAAGACGGGTAATAAAGTTCTCTAAACAAGTAAAGCTATGCGTTCTTTTTTTCTTTATTTAGCGTGTAGCAAAAGACAGCAAATGCTGTCAATTACGAAGTTGTGTGAGTGCCCGATGAGCGCCATACTTTGGCAAGGCTGCTATAGGGCATTCTTTGAAAACAAACTTCTAGTTGGGAAATGAAGGCCCTTTTGGCATCTTCAAGAACTTACCAGGACAGTTGCAATGCTGCATTCGTAACACCTGAACACAGAGGCAAAAAAACTGCATAGGTTTTAAAGATGATTACTGCATAGGTTTGCAGAACTGACGTGCGTTGGCATCTCAACGAAAAGGACATTTTATAATGACTTCACTTTGGCTAATTAGAAAAGCCATATACCATTTGCTTAGGAGAGTTGAATCATGTAAACCATGACATACTTTGGAAGAGAAAACGCGTCAAGGGCACTCAACGATGAAACATCAGGGATAGTTAAGTTTTATGACCAAGGGGCTAATTTTCCAAGCTTTGCGTTCATAACAGCTTTTTATTTGACAGGAAGTTTTGCTAATGTCACGTCAAGCATCAAGGCTGGTCAATACTATTTCACGAACAATTAGAGAATTTTAAGAATATTGAAGAGTGACCTAGTACTGTGCAAAAATATCGATCGACGTTGGACGAGCGCAATACATAAAGAAAAGCGACATAAAGAAAAGCAACAGAAGATTAGGGTTGTCGCAAAACTCATCGTGTCTGCACGATATTTTGATTAAGCCGTTTTTCATCTTTCATTTTCTATATAAGCAACATAAATGAGCAGCCCGATACAGTCTTCTGCGTGACCATGAGTTAGTATGATGTAACCATTATCGGCGTGTTGTGTGTAGCACAATTTATGCGGTTGATGAAGCGCGGAGCTCGCGGCCGGCGGACGAGTGGTCACCGCCGTCAGTGTCCCCGTTGGCTCGGGTGGGGCTGCGCATGGCGCAGCTCAGGCGGCGCAGAGCCCCAGAGTTGGAGCGAGCAGTCCAGGCCCAGCTATCAGCGGGGGCGGTGACAGCCCGAGTTCCTTGAACTCTGCCCGCTCAAGGTTGGCGGGGCCGAGCGGCGTGCTGGCGGCTGTCGAAGACATGGCGGGACTCACGTGTAGCGACCTGGAGACGTGCGACCTGATCCGCATCTGGGCTGCAGATCGAGACCTGCTCGACGGGACGTCCCGAAACAACAAAGTGTACGAGAGCATGGCCGCGCAGATGCGCTGCCTGGGCTACCTGCGCACCACGCTCCAGGTGAAGGAGAAGATGAAGCGACTTCGCAAGGAGTACAAGTACGACAAGTGCAGCAGGAAGATCGCCACCTATCACGACGCGCTGGCTACTGTGTTGGCGCAGGGCTCCAAGGGTAGCTCTCTATTCATCAAGAGCGAAGTTGATGAAAGCATGGGTTCCGAAGAATTCCTCGGCACGGACTCCGAGGCAAACTACATAGAGAAGCGGAGGTACGGGCTTCAACCCGGGCAGATGCCTGAGGCTGCAATAAAGCATCTCTTCACTGGACAACGGCTCTTCCTTCGCGCTGCCACCATGCACTCGAGTCATTGAGGGGACTCATTCCGAACCTCAAACATCTTCCCTCCTTAGCTAGTGTAGAAGCTAGTCGAGGAGGAGGATATAACTGGTGCAGTCGACGTGGAGTGAAGAGCCCGCAGCGAGGAAGGTGCTGAAGTCCGGGAAGCTGACAAGACGCCCACCGCCTTTCGGAGCTGCTGGTAGCGCTGCAAGAAGTAGCGTCAAGACGCTCGCTGCTTTTGGACCAGTTGTCGCGCTGCGAGATGCAGCATTGGCATTCGGTCTGAGCCTGCCGATCAGGGTTGGAGCCAGGAGTGGGGTAGTGAAGAGCGCTGAGCTTCAGCGTACAAGAGTAGGGCAGCAGAGACAGTCGGCATGGCCGACTTCAGACAGCGACAAGGCGGTCTGGTCGAGCACCCGGAACATCAAGGGATTCGTCACTACCAGCGTTGGCAACGCGACAGAATGTCGTTTCAACCAACGGGGTCCTATCGGGCGACGCATCATTGCAAGGTGACGCCTCTTGCCTCTCTTGGGGCCCCAAGATTTTTCTTCATAAATGCACTTGCGTTCAGGCACACTCTGTGAGATGGCGTTCTCAGATAGAGATGTGATAGAAGATGACAGTGTTAATGAGTCGTATCGCACTCGCGAGTTGATGCTTCAGATTGAAGTGTTAAAGCTCAAGCCTTAGCTGGATAAAATGAGGTCGCCGAATGCTTCAGCAGAGGATCCGGACAACCGGAACCAGCAGAGCGGTATCGGACAGTACGCGAAAGAGCTGAAAGTAGTCCGAGCACCCATGCCCACTTATGAGCCGTTGATTCCGGCTTGGTTCGAAAATGTGGGAGCTGTTTTTGTGGCGTTGAAAATTCCTGGGGAAGTACAGGGCACAATTTTACTACCATTCTTAGGTGAGAAGGTGCGTACATTTGTTGCCAATCAGGCAAAGGCTGGGATTATGCCATACTCGGATTTCAACTCTAGAGTGTTAAAGGAGCGGCGTATGACTCCGTGCGAGTACCGTCGTATGTTTGTAGGAATGAAAAGAGAAGCAGGCGAGTCTTGGAGCCAAATGACGGCGCGCCTAGAGACTATGTTTGATTATTACCTTAAATGTGGAGAGACGGAGTCATTTGAAGGTCTTCAGGAATTGCTCATAGCTTACAGATTGAAACAGTTAATTAATGCCAGCTGGTCTCTGATCACTAGTAATTCATCAAGAAATAAAGGGCTGGTTGAAGCCCAAGGATATTGTGGAGTTAGCCGCCTGTTTTGAAGAGAGCCTCAAATAAAGCAGGCAGGAAGTTGCGCGATGGAGTTGCCGTGGTGCTGCGTCACGAGGGCAAAATTATAGGGCGAAAGCTAAACAGTTCGTCTGTGAAAGCTTGAACCCTAATTCAGGAGTTTACATTCGATGTGGACAGCAGGTTCACTTTCAGAGAGATTGTGAGCTCTCACGTAACACTGCTGCTAATACAGTCGAAATTTCATGTGTAGCTTCTAATAATAAGTGACCATATAAACCGAGTCGCACCGTCGCGACACTCCCCCATCGTGCAAAACTCGCTGATGAGAGATCCGCAGATTGAGATTATCGTGGGAAGCAAGTCCTATTTCACACGCGTTGACACATGTGCTGCTGTAACAGTGGTACGAGAGAACGAAGTGTCCGCTGAACTTGTGGACCAGAGTCACAAAAGGCTAACAGATGGTTTTGGTCATGGTGTTATGGCACGTCTGCTGTACTTACCCCTAGCTCCTCCAACCTCGTCGGGAAGAGCTGCTCAGCCTGTGAAATTGCGATGCGCAGTGACCGACCAGTTGAATACGAGTGCGTCGGTATTGCTCAGTCCCGCTGATTAAGAGTGCATTCGTCATTACCGGCAAACGCCACTGCACGGACAAAATGAGCGTTATGTGAGAGAGATCAGCTGTTCAAGAGAGGGCATTAGACTGGAGCAGTATTCAACGATGAGGGAGCCCGAGCGTGTGCTTCGAAGTTCTAGCCCTAGCGCAACGCTATGAAGTGGGTGGGGATCAGGGCGGCCGAGCAAGGAAGCAGCAAACGACTAAGTCCGTGTTACTTGTACTGCTGGCGCAGTTGAAAAGTGAGAATTCTGCTATGGATTGTACTAAGGTGGACAGTGATTGGCGTGGTTCATTCGAGGGAAATGCTCTCGATAGAGAGAAGGAACGCGATGAATCACTTGCCGATGTATGGCGTCAGGTGAAAGAGGGATCGCACGACAAAGTAACTGATGGACGGTTGCTTTATCATAATGAGAAAGAAGACGGGAAACAGTCTCGCCAATCAGTGGTGCCACAGTCGCACCAAGACAAAGTGTTAGCGCACAGCAACTATTGCGGAGGTAGCTTCTCAGAAAAGAAAACGAGAAAGCGCGTTAAAAAGCGGCTAGCATTGGGATTCGCGGTGGAACGAGTGGGTTCTACGTCTTGCGTATTCCCCGTTCAAAAGAGAAAGTCGTCAGGCCAAGACCATCGCATGTGCGCCTCATGTGTGACGAGGAGCCGTAAGGTATTTGGAAAATTGAACTACCGGATTTGTTCATGGTAATTTTGTTTTAGGTTGCACATTTATGTTCGAGACAGTTTTTTGCATGATTTCCGTGAATGAGAAGTTATTTTAGTAAATGGTTTTGGGTTTTTTGAGTGTTTAGAAATGACATGTTGCCGACGGGTGGGGACATTGTGAAAGGCTTGAAGTGGAAAGTCAGGTATTTATCGCTAATGGCGGCTCGAGAGTGTTGAACACGCTGCCGTGAAACGTAGAGGCACGGGTAGCCTTTGATTGAGAGGCGTTCAAGTTGTTTTCTGAGTTGGTGGCAACAAACCCCAGCAAAGCTTTTGTTTAGCCACGAATGCATCGGAAGTGAAAACAAGAGCTTTCCTCTTTCACAGGATAGGTGAATGTGAAAGATCAGTCGCATTCTTCAGTAAGAGGTTGTGCCAGTCGCAACAGGCGGCATCCACAGTTGAATGAGAGGCGATAATGAAAAAAAAATTGTTCGTATTGAAGACGCGCTGAATGAGGCTGCTTGTGCTCTTTCCCGTCTTGGATGATGACTGGATTGCCTGATAGTAACTCTTTGTGGCAATAAGACGCTTTGGCTGCCTTATATGGTTGCGTTTTTGTTGTTGTTATATCGCCACTGAATTAGATTCTGTGAATTGAATGACTGTGCAAGAAAGAGTCTGCGTCGCACCTTTAAAGGTCATGCGTGATGTTAAGTGGGTCGAAGAGACTTAAATAGTACCGGCATGATATGAAAATGTTTTGTTTGTTGTGCTAAGATTTTTTTGCGTTGTGGTCGTTGAGAAGCGAGCTTGCCTCCAAGTGGCAGAACTGCTTTTAGGTGTAGTAGATGTGTTGTGTAGGAATAATTCTGTAGATAAAATAGGGAAGCGTTTGGGAAGTAAGTACATTACAATTTTTTGTGTGATCTAT